CAGAACTCCAATCATCATATGGAAGATATTGCAAGTTTGGTACGATTTTGTCTTAGATAGCATAGAGCCTTACTTGAGTGTGGATTCATCAGTTATTCATGAAATTAAACTTTAGAATTCATGTCAAGTGAATAACTTCGCGACTGCATCAACTTATCTTTGAAAGATGTATCGGACATACTAGGCAGTCGGGAGGTGTATTCCTTTTGTTGCTGTAGGAGTAGGACAGATATACATCATCATACCTAATTTTCAGCTGGTGGGAATCTTGACGTTTATCAGCTGATACTTCAACTGAAGCTCCGGGATTTATACAGACTTCAGTCAGTCCTTCAGATTGTTACATACCTCGAAAACACTTTGGTTATAAAAATTACTTGACTACTGAATATTGTTGAGTAGTATCACACTGTTCACTGATGATAGAATCACATGGACGAGGAGTACCTTATGACTGTTATGCTAAGCGGTATGGAATTGTAGGATGTTTAAAAACAGACGGTAAGTTTGAGTTTGTAACTGCTGAGAGCTACTAACAAGGCATATCTACAACATTGAGAGGAATAATGATCCATGTCTCCAATTTGCTTTACATTCTCTTATAAGTCAATACCAGTTGAATAGTTAGCTTGACATCAAAGTCATTAGGCTGAACTTCATTGAGAGAGATATTTCTGTATCGGTTTTTTAATTCACCTGAAGTATTATATCCGTTAGTGTCATCACCATCATCCTTGAACAACCAGTTTCTGCTTGATGTGACCTGTTTCGAATGTATGTCAATTTAACATAAGAATCGAACTTTAAATTGTCTCCACCCCCAATGCTCATTTGACTAACCGTTGAATGCATCCCCATTTTCAGAAGTGTTATTAACGGCCGACTTTAAAGGCGACACTAGCAACGACAGAATTAACCAATTAGGTTTCTTCATTTTGTCTGGAAAGGGCGATTTTTATAAAATACAGAAATTTGATTGGTTATTTCAGTTGTTGCTAGGGTAGCCTTTAAAGTCAGTCGTTATTATCTCTTGTTCTAGAAGTGTGTAAGTAATACGAAATGACTTTTATGAAGGGATCAGGACCTCAAGACGTAAAATAGATTGTGCGTACGTACAGTCATTCTCACTATCAGCATCACTACTACTATCATCATTTGGTCGTCTATTTTTCTGTCCATTAGGTGTGTCGACTTGATCTTCTTTGATAACTCTATTTCATCATACACACACACGCACACAGAGCGAAAATTTTACTTCCTCGTTTATAAATACTATCAACAACAATGTTGCTAATACTAATAATAATATAAGGGACAGATGGATGCACGCTGGGGCGTATAAAAGTATACATCTCGCCAAGTATGGATAAATAATAATAATAATAATAACAACAATGGTCTAAACAGGCGATAATGAAGTCTGCCTAAGACTGTTGGGTAGTAATATACATACATACGCACACGAGGTATGCGTATGCTGATGTACTATGTTACGTTCTTTTATTTTGTATGGGTAGCCAAACAGACGGCGTAAACCAGGTCAGACATTAACGATAATAATGATAATAATGATCACAACAACAACAACGAAGACCTTGAAATTTTGCTTACATGTATGAAGTGTGTTTGTGTGTGTATTTATGTGTTACGCTTACTAGTAAACTGTATTATGCTACCTAATATATGGTAGTGGAGAGCAGACGAGAGGAGAGAGAGAGAGAGTAGAACAGTAAGCGAAGGACGACAAATCACAAAACAACAATTACTTGCTTATTTTAACTAAGAATCAATCATGTGCTATCAATTATGATACAGAATATGAAACAATGAGTGATAAATAACTGGTCATTCAGTTACACTTATTGCATAGTATGATAATGAGTCAGTTATGGCGTAGATATCGCATAAATAAAAATCATACAACCAAGTCAATTATCACCATAACTATTTAGGCGATGTCGAGACATCCGCACAGGAGCTCATTTGCCAACAGAGGAGAATTACAAATGCTTCACCACGGATCGAACTCAGCACCTTCAGATTCCGTGTCCAGCACGTCTTTTCTTAGCCACTGGCTCAGAATCCGATGGTCCACATTTCCAACTTCTGTCAGTTCACGATACACCGCGACTTCTAGCCAATGAGAAGTCCTGACCGATGGGGTCAACTAAATCGGCTATGTAGACAGGTACTCAACGACTGCATTGGATAGAGGTTGCGCTATTTCATGAACTAACAGAAGCTGAATAGTAACATGCTGGTTGCGAACTTGAAGGTTCTGGGTTTGACCCCTGGGGGTGGGATCATGGGTACGTGGTGTTGAGGAGTCCCATACAAGGACGAAACAGCCATACAGCCCTCCAAGGTTTCCAATGTTTCTCTGATTGATGTCAGTCCATGATGAATACAATTAACACTGAATACTATGGTAACAAAAACTTTGGGAAATTCATTTTTTCATCATTATTATTATTAGTACTAAATGAAGATAACATGAAGTTTTGAATACATCCGTACGTTCTGTTGTTACTTATCATCAGAAAGCAACCTATAGAAGCAATTCATGCAAACTGAAAAACTTGAATTCGTATCAATTTACCTGAAGTTAAAGATATTGGTACTGGGCATTACTGGTTCCTATTGACCTATCGTAGGAATTCAATACTTACATATCACAATTAACACATAGCAACTATTGATACGTAACTATGCTCCTGCTGTAATCGATATATGTCAAGCAAGAAGTAGTGTTTTTTGTCTTGATTAAACTAAATGCCTGAGCAATTATTTACGATATGAAGATTGATTTCTGCACAAAATTGTTGAATAGATCTTCCTGTAATAGATGGACCCTTCAAAGCTGTTAGTTGAGTTCTCATAGTCTAGGAATCAGGTTTCTGAGTTATTGTATATCTTCTAGTGAAAAGTTATTATATTGCTTGAACTGAGTATAAGCATATGCATTTCTCACTGTAATTACTTCAAAGTCTGGAGTATATTTGGAAAGTTTATAGACATTGGAATCAAACTGATGGTGATATTTAGGTAGACATCTATGACAATTAAAGAATTTCTTATCGACAATGTAACTGACTTACTGTGTAGTAATGACCTTAAGGTAGTTTAGTCTTCACAGCCGTGTTGACTTTGGAGAAAATACAAATAGCAGTGAACAACAACTGATACCTGTTGTAGACAAATCGATGTAGAACCTGATCACCCTAGCAACGATTGAAATAACCAAATTTATTTCCTCGAGTTCGACTAGAAAGGCAGATTTTCATAAAATAGAAAAGTCTAATTGGTTATTTCAGTTGTTGCTAAGGTGGCCATCAAAGTAACTCTCATTTTATAATCTGTGAGTTTGTGTTGCACATTATTGTTTTTATCAGGGGGTTTGAAAACACCTCAGTGACTTGTTCTAGAATACTTGGTCCATCCACAGTCTTTGATACATTTTCAAGGGGAATAATTGCATTCTCTAAAGGTCAGTATTATTCTCAATTAATCAATTATTATTTCGATGGTGTTGTGTTCTCTAAGTTGGATTGTTTAATTGTGTAGCTTTCATTGTCACTCTAGACAACATGATGATCAGCACAAACTTAAGAAAGAAATGAGCTGTAGGATTTTCTTTACAACTGGCTTAGTAGTTTATCCTGACGGCCTTGTGTGTGATCGGTTGTTTTTGTCAAAGTCTTGTCCTTGTCTCCATGTTTATTTTGATTGGTTGTTCTGATGACCTGAAATTTGACCTTCTTGTTGTTGCTTATTGGTTGATGGATTGGGTCAGTGTTAATATGTCTGTTGATTGCTGACTGACTTGAATACCAAGTTTGTGAAAATTCTCTGGGATCCTTTGTATTTTCTCTATCCAGTCATGATTTCCACATCTTCCCAGTCGAATTCATGTCCACAGTTGTCTATGAGTGAAGATATGTCATGATGTTTGATTACTAGTTGATGTGTCATGTGGATGGATGTGAAGAGGGTGAGCACTCTGCTCGATGATGTAGTGTTTTTCACAGTTTCTGCAGCTTATTTTCTAGTTAATATTTAGTTTGTCTTACTTAGCTATTGTATCTTTTGTCGTGCATAACAGATGGTGAAGGGATTTTGTGGTCTTGTGAGATACAGTGATTCCATTGGCCACGGTCTCGGAGACCTTTATGTAAGGTAGAACAATCCGTTGCGTGGATAGCCGTCCCTCTGCAGAACAGGCATCAAATTGTTTTCTTTTTTTCCTGGAGCGTCGATGTACTATAGTGTATTTCCGCCGTTTTGAACAATGTTTTCATACAACTGATTTTATATGCTGTTGGGTTATTGTTATTGTTGCTGGGGAATTGATCTGTATGGGTTATTTTACTGTATACTCCGGTTCCCAATTTCCTCGAATTCGTTCTACTGATGAGAACACCTAGAAATGCAATTTTGTAATTCGGTTTCTCCTCAGTTGTGAATTTGATGTCGTCGGAAATGTTGACTAATGTGTAAGCGTTTTCCCATCCGTTTCCTTTAATGATGACAAACGTCAGCTGCATATCGGATCGAAATAAAAATCCTGACTGATTGGAGGAAATACATAGAATACCAGAGAAATTTTAGAAGCTTGGTGTTCATTTTAGTCACCAATCAGCAGACATTGACATTGATTTAACCTATCAACCAATGAGAAACAACAAGAAGGTCGAAGTTCACATCATCAAGACAACCAATCAAAATAAACATGGAGAAAATGAAAAGACCTTGGCAGAGACAACCAATCACACACGAAGCCACTAGGAGAAGCTATTAATCTACATGTACAGAAAACCTAACTTCGCTTCTCAATCCGTTTCTTTCGGTAGTTACAAACGTGTCATCTACATATTTCTTATTAATTTTATTTCATTCATTTATTTAATAATTATTTATCTTATTTTTACCATTAAGAAACAATAACTATATTATATCTATTAAAACGTAATGCATCTTTTGTTTTACTGTTCATGATTTAGCCTTGTATGAAAAAATTCTTATCGGTGAACTGGATCAACTACACAAATCCCTTGAACAACGATGTCTTCTTTCAAACACCTTCGATCCCGGTAATCTAACATCTTTATGTACAGAAGATGGTCGTGACAATGCAAATACAACGTCAACAGTAGCAGCGGCAGCAGCGACATCGGCAGGTTGTATGAAAGTTGGTAGTCCGACACTTGGCACAAATTTACCCGCATTAACTACAGATCCTGCTAGAGCATTACTCATTGCTGGGCAGGTGTGTGATTGGCCAGGTTGTGGTGCTATCCTTGGTCCAGATACCTCATTTATTGAGTGAGTTTAATAGTCACTTACTATTGTCTTTGATTTATTTTGTTTATTTTTAATAGAAAAAGAAACTGTGAAAATTTGTCCGACAGACTTCAATTATACAATTTCATTGTTAAATGATGCTAGTCAATCGACAGGTTTTGTTCTTGTTGGAACTCATCAACAAAGTATAGCTGCAGCCACATAAAAGTTAATACTCTGTCGGTAGTGTGAACCGACGTCGCTCAGACTATGACATCCAGCGCAATACATCATAGTGTCATATCACTTAAATGGTTAGTGGTCACACTGAAAAGTTAGTCGATGGACCTCTAGTAGCAAATAAATTCGGATAGCCACATTGGTTTTTATCTCATCATCGATTTGTGTACACTATCCAGTTGTAGAAGGGATCAACTTCGGACCTGAAAAGTTTACTGGCACGATATCGAACTTCAAGATTGAGTAGAATAGTTTCAAATCATTGAGTTAACCAAAACCTTCCCGAAGTTACAGATACACCTCATCGATAAGTACTAGTATGCACGAAACACTAGAGAAGCAGAACTTCTTGCTGACTGATTTGAGACATCTTATCGTAAACATACCTCTCAGTTGATTTGTTGTCACATTTCTAATGTGGTCGATTAACACCGATTCATAGTTACGACGTAATATCAAATAATGAACAATTCATATATGTAAATAATTATGTATAAAGACTTCAAAATCTTACATCCATTTAATATTATGAACTGTAACTGTGTAGTTACTTTCAGATGTGTATATCAAAGTCTATTGACCAAGTTGGTGAGATTATACCAAAAAGTCTGAGCACTTCTACGTTAATAAAGCATATTTAAGTGAGTAGATCTGATTTCAATCTTTATATGCATCAGTACCCATTGAAGATGTTTATCTTTTATGATGAACCATGCATGTATCATATCTTCAAGAAAGTCAGCGATTTCTTCATGATGCGAGTGAGCTTTTAACGATGACTTCTAAAAAACACAAAATCTAATCAATATTTTAAAGATTTTTGTGAAATCCCTTTACTGACTAACATACAAATAATCCTACTATTATTATTTACTACTTGTCCCTTGGGTTCCTAGTGGAACATAGGGCTTCAGTAGCACGTCGCCATTTTACTCTGTTCTCTGCAGTCTTTCGAATCTGGCGCTACGACTGCCCACAAGCTTTCATTTCTTCCTCATGTCATCTCCTTCATGTCACCCTCAGCTGAGACGCCCAACTAGCCGTTTCCCATCTGGGTTCCACTCGACGGCCTGGCCTGGCACGTGATGTCTCCAATCGCCATTCTCAGTGTGTGCCCAATCCATCTCCACTTCCTTCTGCATATTTGTTGAGCGATAGGTTCTTGTTTGGTTCGTTGCCAGCCAGCTAGAGTTCCTTCTTGCTTATTCTTCCTGGCCTTCCAGTCTGAGCTTCAGTAACGAGCCAGTGTAGGCAGTTGTCGATGAATATCTGTAGTTTGTTGGAAATGCTTTCGTGGCATGCCAAGTCTCTCAACCATATAGAAGCACTGACTGACTTGACTGAATTAGTGTTGAAAATTCGGATGTTGTTGACGCTTTATGCTGAGTGCAGTGGATCTCTACACTGGTTTCAGGTTAATGAATGCCTGTCTTGCTTTTTCGACCCTGGCTTTGACGTCCTCATCTGTGCTGCCTGTAGTTGGAACGATACTACCTATGTAGGTGAAAGAGACTACTTCCTTCAGGTTTCTCTCGGTCATGGTGGTGGTTGATGCCTCTTGTTGTCCATCCTGTTGTTGTTGTTGTTGTTGTTGGTTGGATAATTTCACCACCTCCGTCTTCCCTACATTCACTTGAAGTCCCCTTTTCACTGCCTTACCTTCCCCTGCCCTGCCCTGCCCTGCCCTGCCTCTTCTGTCAACTTGTTAGTTTTCGCCTGTACATCTTCCAGTTTGTCCCACAACACATTAAACATAAATCAGCATCGTCGGGGCGAAATCCAAATATTCTAGGCTCTTTTCATCAGTCAAACAGTGAGCGTATCCATATCTTCTCACAGCTCCTCACGGTTTGCTGCATGATCCAGTCGAGTCGACCACAATCAGGAAGATCATCTGTGATGATGGTAGACAGCCTTGTCTTGCTCCTTCCTGTCTTCACTTCAATTCACTTCACTTCACTTCAATTCAAAGGCGTCAGTGAGCTTACCATTGTGGATCACTTGGCATGTAGCATCCTCATGTAGGATATGGCTGTTGAATGAGGTTGATAAAGATTTGTGGCACTAAAGCTGTAGTGTTGAAGCAAGTGGCTGACGAATTACTTCTCGGTCGACGCTGTCGAAAGTATTTTCAAAGTCGATGAAGTTGAGGTAGAGTTGAGTTGACTGCCTGCCATTCTATACTCTAATCTATGATGATGCGTAGTGTTCCAATTTGGTCCGCACATGATTTGTACTTCTTGAATCCAGCCTGTTCCATACAAATAATCATAATCATACTAGTTTGTATTTAGGAATATACGAAGGAACAGTTCTACACTTTCTCCAACTCCTCGAATTACTTCACGGTAAGACAGATCTAATACATTTTTCTCCTTCTTTGCAGAGAAAATAACTTCCGCAGGAAATACATTTCGAGTGCAAAGGTGACGCAACAGTCAAAGCAGTTAAAATTATAACCAAAATCGTACTACACAGTTTATCCAAAGTTATCATAGCAACATATTGAAAAACAACGTGTATGCTTAAGGAGGAAGCATAGAATCTAGCCGCACATGAGCAACTCGTAAATGGCCTTGAGTGCACCAATAGGCAAGCAGCTATTTCTTATTCACTTTTAATACAGAAATAAAAGAAACTGACGGTAGATGTGTAGTTTATCTAACGATGTTTAGGAACTTGTCTAAGTATTCAGCAGCAGACTAAGTCCGGCTTCGACGCTGAAAAAATAACTGTGAGCTTACTCGAAATCATTGAAAAAACCTCAGAATAATGAAAATGTGAGAGGCAGTCATTTAAACAATAATTCACTTCAGTGTAATCGTAATTATCATAATCGAAATTCTACGCAGACCTTTCTATGATTTGCTTCGTTTTTTTCAACAATTCAAACCTTCCAAGAACGGTCACTTAGTCACCTTCAACCTGATTGGTTACTTCAAGGCCGCTCACAAGTCGCCCAAGGACTATACAGTTATGTAGTTCCACTGTGTTTAACACGTAACTGGCTTGATTCAGATGGCTAATAATAAGTCAGCTACATTGTAATCTGTGTTGGCCAATCAATATCATCACTACTTTAAGTCAACATTGTAACTAAGTCTGCGCATTGGTTTCTATCCTATCAATAATCTGGTTACTTCTGTCCATCTCATTCTCACGTCAGACAAGTATCTCTTCTTCATTCAACCTTGATATCATGTTCTTGAGTCGGTTTTTACACAGTCTGGTCGACAAATAGATAAAACGATCATCAACACACTACTCGACATTACTGTATGTATCGTTCAGAGTTGTTCTAGCTTCCATCAGTACATTGGTGTAGAGGGTGGAGGCAGGAAAGAACAAATAAACAAAGAGGACTTTATTAATATTGGTGTGTTTCATGGGTTAACTTCAGTTGGGGAACCATTGAAGACCTGGAAGCACTAGACATCTGTCTTGTCCTAGTATGGGACTCTTCAGCAGTGCCCACCCACAAAACAACTGCACAGTACTCCTAGGTTTACAACGACTCTTCCACTGATGTCTCTGATGAATACCAAACTTATCGGAGGTTAGCAAAAGGCTGTAACACAAAAAGAAAGAAGAAAAAAGGGGGATAAAGATGCTGTGCGATTCAGATTGAACATTAAGGATGAATATTTCTGTACTACTGGGATATATCACGTCGAATCCTTATCATCCGGGTTTTTGATTGGTTAGTCTGTTGGACAATAGATTAGTCAAGACTATGACAACAAAACGATCAGGTCTGGTTATCGAACACAAGCGACTAGTGTGATTGGCTGTTTTCCAACCTCTCTTATCAGTCAGCATCATGTAAATTGTGAACTGCTAGTAATCACATCAAAAACTACCACTCCCATTGTATCCAACTGTTAGCTGACGACATTTGAAGCATTCGGTACATTTAGATAGTGTCGTTAAACGACGCAATGTATTATTTACTCAATAGATTTTGAACAACTAAATTGCATTTTTATTTATACTAGGTGATGATTGGGAAGATGAAATGAAAATCTGGGTCTCAGCAGGATTCGAGCCAGGGCCTTCGGGTTACTAGTTTGGTACCCTACCACCTGAGCAACGATATCCTGCTGATCCTGCCATGAATCAGATTTTCATTTCACCTTCAGTAATCGCCCAGTATTAACAGTACAAGTTCGCCAAACTACGGCTATCTCAGGTAGTCAAAGATTTGGAGGTTGAAGCGATGGGTCCTGGGTTCAAGCCCCAGCGGGAACAACACTTCTTGGGGTGAAGGTACATCCACCTGACGAGCCAGTCCCAAAATAGGTCGAAAGGCATGTCCTGGATTCCACTACCACCCATCAAGTAGACTATAATGATAACATATTTATTTATTAGTCAAGTCAATTTGTGGAGAATTGAGAAATAGGAAGAGAAAAATAAAACGATTATTATTCTTTTAGGTTGGAATTCATGGACTGGCATCAGTTGGAGGAAGTTTGGAAACCTGGGAGCACTGGACAGCTGTTTCGTCCGCGTATGGGATTCCTCAGCAGTGTCTATCTATGGCCTCTTCGGGGATCGAACCCAGGTTCTCCAGGTTTCGTGGCCCTCATGTTACCATTGAGCCATTCGTGATTAGATTCGAGAGGTTATTCCCGAAGTTCGAATGAGAATTCATGACCAATGGAGTCAAGCAAGTGGAACATGAGGACAGTTACTCAACGATGATATTGGATATAGATCGCGTTATATCGTGAACTGCAGAGATAGGAAATGTGGACGATTGGATTCTTACCCGGTGGCTCAGTGGTAACGTCCTGGCCAGG